GGGAGCCCCGGGCCTCCGCTCGCTCCCCGGTCGTCCCGCCTCTTCAAGCCCGCGTTCGGAGGCGGGGAGTGGGGGAGATGAGACCGCACGAGGCCTGCGCTCACGCGCTCGCACGTGTCGGCGAGCGGGGAGCAGAGGCTGCGGACCTCCCAGAGACTGAGGGGTCGGAACCCGCTGCAGCCGGGCCGCGCGTGTCCACGGCCCCTGCCTCGAGTTCCTCCCCCAACTTGGCCCGGGCAGAACGGGGTGGGAGAGCCAGCTGCAGGTGAGATGGCGTTTATCTGATTTTCTAATGCCACAAAAATGTCTTTGATGCCCCTGGCCCCCTCCCCAGGGGGCGAGATCAAAGGCCCCGTGGGGAGGTGGGACAGCACCATTCATCATGCCAAGCGGCTGGCAGCGGGCGGCAGCCCCTGCTCCTCCAGCCGGGACAGAGGTCCCGACGACGACGACGACGACGTGCCCTAGGGGTTCCGAGGACAGGTGGTGTGGGACATTCTGAAGCAAGGGACAATCTCCCTACCGCTTCCACGGAGAGTTGCCATCAACCTTTCAGGGTGTCTGTCCTGGAGTGGGAGGACAGATCGAGGACCCCAAGTCCATGTGGCAGGAAGATCATGCACCCAAAAGAAAACTCTCCGTCTTTTGAGGGGGTGGGGACCTGAACATGGGGACTGGGGTCACTACCAAGAAAAATAAACACCCCTGGTGAGCAGAGAGTAGACACGATCCTGGGTCCCTCAGAGAGCGGGAACAAGTGGATCCGGAGGAGGCTTGGGGGTAGGGGAGGGGCCAAGGGGAGGCGACCCTAGGGGAGGAGGCAGATTCTGGGAAGGAAGGATGAGCTAGCAGAGGTGAGAGAACTGGGGAAACGTTGGGCTGGGCACACGAGGAAGCCCCTGGATTTTCTGGGAGTCCCACCTCAGGGCCCTGGTGTGCAGGCTCTGCCAGTTCAATCCCTCGTAATGGGTACAGAGCATTCTGGTGAAGAGGCAGGGGCACTCTAGAGAAGGGAAAAGGGAAGGACAGTGGCTGAGAGCGATAGGGAGGGAGTCTGGTTCAGGTGCCTGCCCCCGTTTTCACTTTTTTTTTTTTGAGTCAGAGTCTCATTCTGTCACCCAGACTGGAGTATAGTGGCACACTCACAGCCACCGCAGCCTAAGCCTGCTGGGCTCAGGCTATCATTCTGCCTCAGCCTTCCAAGTAGCTGGAACTACAGGCATGTGCCACCACACTCGGCTAATTTTCTGATTTTTGTAGGGACGAGGTCTCTACAAAAGTTGCCCAAGCTGGTTTCAAACCCCTGGACTCAGGCAATCCTCTCGCCTCCGCCTCCCAAAGTGCTGGGATTGCAAGCGTGAGCCATCACGCCCTGTGGTCCATTTTCACCTTTTTTTTTTTTTTTTTTTGAGTCGGAGTCTCACTCTGTCTGGCAGGCTGGGGTGCAGTGTCACGCTGCTCGTGGCCACCGCAGCCTTGACCTGCTAGGCTCAGGCGATCTGTCTGCCTCAGCCTTCCAAGTAGCTGGAACTACATTTGTGTGCCACCATGCCCAGCTAATTTTTTGATTTATTGTAGAGAGAAGGGCTCACCATGTTGCTCAGGCTGGTCTTGAACCCACAGGCTCAGGCAATCCTCTCGCCTCAGCCTCCCAAAGTGCTGGGGTTACAGGCATCAACCACTGCACCCGGCCCATTTTCACTTTTATCAGCATCCAAATACCACCCACAGCCTCTGCACCTAGTAATTTTGTACACTGTTGCTCTTTCTGCAAGGCAGTGCGAACCCTGGACATTGTACATGCAAAGACATACCCAAGTTGAGTGCACACTCCAGTCATATGGGGCCAAATAGGCAGCCGGAGGGCTCTGGGGGTCCCTGGAGGCTGCAGGTGGCCAATGACCAGCCTCCCAGGAGCCACTCCCTGGGTTCTGAACCCCCTGCCCACCCCTGCCCCCACCCGCTACTGTTATTGCAGATTATGAAATGCTCTCCCTATCCTGCATTCTTCTCCGAGGCAAGAATTTTAATGTATTTGTCTTTGTCATCAGGGGACCTGGGCTCTGGGACCGCCCTGCCTCTGCCTGAGGAGGGAGCGCCCCAAATCTAGTCCCCACTGCCTCCAGATCCCAGCCTCCCTCCATTACTGCCCCTCCCCCATGCCCTAGCCCTGCCCCTCGCCTCCCCCTCTTAAGACACGGTCTCTCTGTGGGGTGGATAAAAATGATGTTATTGAAACAACAGAATTGGGAGCAGTGGCAGGGAGCAGGGATCAGCTCAGGAAACTGGGGCGTTTGCCAAGAAGCCTTCTCCCCCGCAGGCGGCCTTTCTGCCCCTACCCCCACCTTTCCTACAAACACACACAGCTCACCCCACCCCTCCTGCAACACTCACTCCAGCCAGATCTTGCAGAATCTTCTGCCATCCCTGGACTCTTGTCCTTGTCCTTCCCCCACGGAGTCCCATTCCAGAATCAGTTGGCCCAGCAGAGCCCGCAAAGCACTAGGGCAGGGGAAGGATGAAGTCTGTGGTCCGCAGACCTCCTAAAGCCCCAGCTCCCAGGGCTTCCCCTCCAAGGGCATCCTTGCTTCTACCCACTCCCTTTTGCCCTCTCTGCATCCCTGTCGAGGGGTTGGCTGTCATCTAGCCAGAACCAGATCAATGACTTCTGTTTTAACATCTCCCACACCTTCATCAGAGAGATGAGTTGCTGAGGCTTCAACTTGCCACTATCACCCTAGAAGACTTACCAAGAAGTGGGGCTGGGGGCTCAGGAGATACAGGCCATGATGCACAAAGATACATTAAGGTGTGTGCACACGCATGCACACTCACACTACAGGTGGGCACAGGCTTCCAGATAACCCCACAGAAACCACAGGATGTCCTCACCTTTCCTAGGCAATGCTGGAACTTTCACCCACAGTTATGGATAGACACACAGATAGGCTGGCTAGGGCTGAGACACAGGCCTGCCTCCCCGGAGATGAAATGTGCATACACACACACACACACACACACACACACACACCCTCTGCACAAAAGTGCATGCAGAGGAAT